CTCAAATGTCCCAGCGTACATGCATATATGGCCCGTGGCCTAACAGATGGATAAGGCTCTCCTTGATTGTAGGACTAATCCAACAAGGAAGCAACTAATCAGCTAGCTAACTTTCCTCCTAGCCACTCGCTTTGCCTTCTTCGCGCTACAGGCCGCTTTCGCTCATTTGTTGCTTTCGCAGACGGCCGCGCGGCTGCGTCGTCGCGGGCTCTCCTGCGCCTGGTGTATGTGCGACCGCACATGACATCATCTTGGAAGGTGACCCTTGTTATGTGCGCTGCTAAGATTGAGGGGGAGAGGCGACGACGCTACAGTACCCGTGGAGCTACAGTACCCGCGGGTACTGTTCACAGCGGCTGCGGCTAGGGCTGCAAGGGCGCTGGGGGAGGCTGGCCGCGGGGCTTCGCCCGCGGCCGGCAAGAGAGAAGGGATTTCCTTCTAATCTCTTGCTTGATTCTAGATTGATACATCTCCTCTTATTATATAGAGAGGTCTGATTTGGCCCCTAAGCAAGCGACTAATTAACCCTAATGGGCTAAGGTCCAATAGGCCCTTGACTCCTCTAACACTACACCCCACCTGGACATGCAGCTCATCCTCGAGCTGCAATCTAACAATGACACTAACGATGTCTCCACTAGACACAAACCTAACACCTAAAAATAAATCTTTTACATCTCGGCTTATTTTATTGATCTGAAGAAGACTATGACTCTTTATTTTTGACTCCTAAAGATAAGGCGGGCACCCTCCGCTTGCTGGATCGGCACGTGTGTAGCCACCTGGATCCCATGGAGACCATCAGAACGAGAGGGGTACACGGGTATGGCCACCTAGAATTAGTGGCAACAGCAACGAGCGGAGACGTGCTCGTGGCGGACGGTGGCGGAATGCGATGGCGCTAGGCAGTGCGTCCCCGCCGGTGACAAGGAGGAAAGCTGCTCCCATATCGCCGGTGCCGCAGAGTTGGAGTTCGCCGCCCACGGAAAAAACACCATGCTTGCGCCTGAAGATAACAGCAGGTCGGCGCGGTAGGAGCACGTGCTAGGTTACGCTCCCCTATGCTGAGGTCGACCGCCACCAAGGTCGCCTCGTGCATCGGTGAGCGCATCTTCTGCAACCGCCGGCGCGCTAGGAGGCCACACGCCGCAGCTTGCAGCCGCACCGCCGCAGACACCTGGCGGGTAAGCATCTTCCCCGCGAAGGGATCCGGCGCTGACCCATCGGAACCTGGCATCGAGAACTCCAACTTGTAGAACTTGGGCGGCGGCGGGTCCTGTGCAGCGGCCGAGGGCGCCGCGCCGGTGCTGTCCAGCGAGGGCGACGCGGCGGAGAGCGTCGGCAGCAGGCTGCCGCCGTAGAACAGGGGCCCGTCCACCCTGCCGTAGAGGATGCCGCTAGTCTAGGGCATGCCGTAGGGGAAGATCGCCTACGGCTGTGACGGCTGTGGAGGTGGTGGGATGAGGGCGGCCAGGGTCGCCTGCATGGCCGCCATGACGTGGGCAATTGCAGCCACGTCGACGGCCTACAGTACCCCGTGGGTACTGTTCACAGCGGCGGCGGCTAGGGCTGCAAGGGCGCTGGGGGAGGCCGGCCACGGGGCTTCGCCCGCGGCCGGCAAGAGAGAAGGGATTTCCTTCTAATCTCTTGCTTGATTCTAGATTGATACATCTCCTCTCATTATATAGAGAGGTCTGACTTGGCCCCTAAGCAAGCGACTAATTAACCCTAATAGGCTAAGGCCCAATAGGCCCTTGACTCCTCTAACAACCCCAGGCAGCTTTTTTTTCTAAAATCTCTGCTCCAGAATTTCTCTGATTCAATAGGACTAAGGGTCAACTACAGTAAGTTAATGATGCTGCCAATCAACATCTTAGAGGAAAAGTTAGAGCACCTAGCAAGAACTTTTGGTTGCTCCAAAGGAAGCCTTCCCTTCACATATCTTGGCCTTCCTTTGGGACTGACAAAACAAAAAAAATCCAAGACTTCCTTCCACCGATAAACAAATGTGAGAGAAGGCTGGGAGGCATTTCATCAATGCTCAGTCAGGCTGGCAGGCTACAGATCACCAATGCAGTCTTCTCATCTTTGCCAACCTATTACATGTGTTCTCTTGAGTTGTCCAAAGCAGTTATCAAGCAAATTGACAAGTTCAGAAAACATTGCTTATGGAGGGGCTCTGACATCAATGGAAGGTCACAACCAAAAGCTGCATAGGAAATGGTTTGCCTACCAAAAGAGAAAGGTGGTCTGGGTGTAATTAACATTGAAACCCAAAATCAGGCTCTTCTAATGAAAAACCTAGATAAATTCTTCAACAAAAATGACATCCCTTGGGTAAACTTGGTTTGGGAGAAGCACTATAAGAATGGTAAACCGCCAGATCAAATTAGAAAAGGGTCATTTTGGTGGAGAGATGTTCTGAAACTGATCCCACAGTTTAAAGAGGTGACAATCATCCAGCTAAAGAATGGTCAATCCTGCATGTTTTGGAAAGACAAATGGCTAAATCAGACTCTGCAAATGGAATTCCCTGAAAGCTACTCCTTTGTAAAAAATAAGTCAATTTCAGTAAACCAGGCTTTCAGTTTGCACTCTTTAACCGAAATGTTCAATCTTCCACTATCCCAAGTTGCCTTCAATCAAATGCAAACACTCCAGCAGATGATGGAAACAATGATTCTGGAAACTGAGGATGATAGCTGGGCCTACATTGGAGGGTCTACCAAATATTCATCTTAAAAAATGTACAAAAAATTGATTGGGCACCATCCAAATGACCCAGCTTTTAATTGGATATGGAAGAGCTTTTGTCAGCCCAAGCATAAAGTCTTCACCTGGTTACTCTTAAAGGACAGGCTAAGTACAAGAAACATCCTAAGAAGAAAGAACTTGCACCTTGAAAGTTACAACTGTGAGCTGTGCAACCAAGGAGTTGAGGAGTCATCTGAACATTTGTTCATTCACTGCCCATTTGCTCAACAATGCTGGGGTCCGTTTAATTTGGAAACTTCACCTGCTGGTGGAATCATTGATAATTTCAATGCAATCAAAAGTCAGTTGCACTCTCAGTTCTTCATGGAGACAATCATACTGATGTGTTGGATCATTTGGACAGCCAGGAACGAGTTAATCTTCAAAGCAAATCAAATCAGTCTGCTTGATTGCAGGCACAACTTCCTCAGAGAAGGGAAACTTGTGGGGCTGAGAGTGAGGACTAGTCTCTCTTTACAGTTTGATCAATGGATAGAATCCTTAGAAATGATCTAAGTCCTCGCTTTTGTTTTATTTTCTTTGTTTCTTTTTTTGTTTCCTAATCTCCCAGTGTGGAGCTGCTCTGTTCTATTTGTAAAGACCTGTTGTTTCTTTTCCTTTCAATAAATTTCCTATAGGGGCTGCGGCCCCTCCAGTTTCGTCAAAAAAAAAAAGTAATGCTAAAGCTTAGAACTCCTTTTTTCAGTAATGTCAGTCTTGCATTTATTTCAGAAATCAGTCAGGCAATCTCTCTTTTTTTTTTTTTTTGAGGCAAAACAGGAGGGGGGCGCCCCTACTGCAGGCAATATCATTGTAGCTCCATGTACATTTGAGATTATCTGCACCATCTTAACTGATGACAAAGATCCTGTTGTTTTACATTCTAACACAGCCATCGCATTCCAGACTAAACCATTCAAAATGGAATATGTATTTCACATTCAAAAAATTACATTGTAAATTAATCATGTCAGATCATTTACAAATAGGTCATTTGACACAACAGTAATCAACACTGATCCTATCTCTATAAATCTCTCTTTTTTCCACCATATATATGGTTTATTTGATTCTACCTATTTGATTCAACAGTACCAAACTTCTGAGCAAGTTCAGTAAGCTGGGAAGACATCTTGAAACAGCTAAGACCTTGAAACAGTTGCTCCCTGTGTACAGAACTTGACTCCCTTGTGTTCTGTCCAGAGTATACCAGTTCAGTAAGAGAAGCTAGGAAGATATTGAGAATGCCAGAGGCACTGTATGATATTCAATATCCTTCCACTGATGCAGCAGCAACATTCATTTAAAAAAAATGACAGCGCCATTTGCTCCTGCTATCAAATCGACAACTTTTCTTTTGGAAAAAAAATTCTGGTGCATAAATCTTACTGCTACTAGTACTGTCCATTATCTGCATCATCAATCTTTGGTTGTGGGCAGTCCAATTTCTTGTTTGGATTTGGGTTATCTGATACTGATCTCTCACCTGAAGTCACGAGTTACTGTGGTAGAATTTTGCAGCTTATGGCCATATAGGGATCAACGTCTATAAAGGATTAAAATAGCAAAATAGCATACCACTAAATGGTTGAACCGCTTGAGTCTAGACTGAGGCTGAAAACTGCAATGCAGACCTGCAGGTTCGAAACAAGACTTTAGAAATCCATCAGCTAATATATCGAATCTAACCAGATGGAATCATGGATTGATAACTCTACCTCACGGTAGCAGACGAGATGTGGCCGTGGGTCTGATACTCTGATTGAAGCAGAGGGGGCGGCAAAGGAACTCGGAGGAGACGACTGCCAAGGACGACGGGTCGATGGCCATAAGCTGCGCCACACGAGGTCGGCGCGTGAAGGGGAAGGCACGGAGGGATGAAAGCATCGGCGCCGGTGGATGAGCGATGAAGCGACGGGACCACAAAGTAGATGAGGGATTCAGTGGCGGCGGCAGGTGAGGCTAAGCCGAGCGTGTAGCGAGCCGAAAGGCTGGTCAGCATACGAGCCGAAGGACTGGTGAATTGAAGCAGTGTGGTACGGGAGAAGGCGGCGTCTTCGCGAGCGTCTGATGCGCGTATGTAGCGGATAGACTCTATAGACGCGATCCAGGGAATTTTTTTACCTATTCTTTAGGCACAACCTGAGGATCATATCGGCAGTTAGTTACAACGACGTCAGTCACTATATATCCTACGTTGTCTCGTAGTCTCCATTCACCGTCAGTTAATTAATTAATGAACAAACATGGAGAGAATCATCGCCGCCATCTTTCTTCTCCTCTTCTCGTGCCAAGCAGCAGCCGCCGCCGGAGCAGCTCGCGTCCGGCGGCCGCCGACGCTGGCGAGGCACTACGTTTCATCATGGACGCGCCGCCACCGCCATCACGTGACGGCGGCGGGTGACGACGGCGGCGTGTCCCTGCCGCCGACGGTGCAGTACGAGACGCGGCGGTACACGCAGCGGCTGGACCACTTCAACTCCTTACCGGCGAGCTACGCGACGTTCCAGCAGCGGTACCTGATCAACGACACGTTCTGGGGCGGCCCGACGGCGCCCATCTTCCTGTACGCCGGCAACGAGGCCGACATCGACCTGTTCACCAACAACACCGGGTTCATGTGGGAGGCGGCGCCGCGGTTCCGCGCCATGCTCGTCTTCGTGGAGCACCGCTACTACGGTGAGTCGCTGCCGTTCGGGGGCACCCGGGAGGCCGCGTTCCGGGACGCCGCCACCAAGGGCTACCTCACCGTCACGCAGGCGCTCGCCGACTACGCCTCGTTCGTGCTCAGCCTCAAGGCCAACCTCAGCGCGCCCACGGCGCCCGTCCTCGTCTTCGGCGGATCCTACGGCGGCATGCTGGCGGCGTGGATGCGCCTCAAGTACCCGCATGTTGTCATGGGCGCCGTCGCGTCGTCCGCGCCAATCCTCAGCTTCTATGGCATCGTGGATCCCTACGCGTTCTACGACCGCATCACCGACGACTTCAAGGTACGCACCTCAGGATTCGTTCGTATTTTATACTGTACGGGGAAAATCTGAACTTTGGATTCATTTTCTTGTTTTAATAATTGTGTGTGATTAGAGCGAGAGCAAGAACTGCTACGACGTGCTTCGGAAGTCGTGGGACGTTCTCTACAATGCGCTCGCAACCAAGGAAGGCCAGGCGCTGCTGAGACGTACATTCAACATGTGCAAGTGAGTGCTCAAAACTAAGCAAGATTTTTGCACGAATTTCATACAAAACAACAGTGGATTCCAATCAAAGTGATGACATTATACGATCCGATCTGCTTGCTGATCACACACACACACACATCCATGGATGCAGGGGCAGCAGCGTGCAGGACATCCCGTCTCTGCTGGACAACGCGGTGGCCGAAGCGGCCATGACGGACTACCCGACGGCGTCGGGGTTCCTGACGGCGCTGCCGGCGTACCCTGTCCGCTCGATGTGCCGCGCCATCGACGACCGCCAGGCGGCGGCGGCGGCGTCGAGCTCCGGCTCCGGCGACGGAAACGACGGCAACAGCACCACCGCCCTGCTGCTGCTGTCCCAGCAGGTCCGGGACGCCATGAACGTCTACTACAACCACACGGGCGGGGCGTCGTGCTTCGGCGCGGCGGAGGACGACGACCCCTACGGCTTCTACGACGGATGGAACTGGCAGTCGTGCACGGAGGTGATGGTGATGGCGTACGGCGTCCGCGACGGCAGCGTGCTGCCGCCGTCGCCCTTCAACTTCACCGACTTCGTCGACGACTGCCGCAAAGACACCGGCCTGCCGCCGCGCCCGTTCTGGATCGAGACCGAGTTCGGCGGATACGTAAGTTGCAACGACATTCCTACTCGGCCGGGCCGTCTGTTGGGCTGGGCTCAGTCGCAGTTCGCTGAAAAATGGCCGTCAGTTTCTGGTTTGTTGGTATACTTTTTTTTTCTTTTTGTCAAATCAAAATATATGAAAATGGTTTCTTTGTTTCAGGATATTGCGAATGTCATGAAGAAATCTGCTAGCAACATCATCTTCTTCAACGGGCTGCGCGATCCGTGGAGCACTGGAGGGTAATGGGCCGAATTCGCTGAAAATATTTTTTTCCCCTACGGATTCGACGAAAATATATAGTAGAATCTTTCCAACTTAAAAATGAATTCAAATTTTGGCTATATTCGCAGCGTGCTGAAGAGCGTCTCTGACAGCATCATTGCCCTGGTGGAGCCCAAAGGTCAGTGAGCAATTTAGCTTTATGTCTTCCTAGTAATAGATTTGACCATGCATGCATATGTTTTTGCCTGTCTAATAATAAGATAAATAAGATTTGGACATTGTTTATAAAACACATATATATGGTGTACATGATGTGCAGGGGCACACCACGTGGATTTGAGATTCTCGAGCAAGGATGACCCAGAGTGGCTGAAGCAGGTGCGGGTGAAGGAGACGAGGATCATAGCGCGCTGGCTCAAGCAATACTACAGTGACGAGGGCATTGCAACCTGATCGAAGCTTTTAATTTTTTTTCCTCAGCTAGCTAGCTCCTCGTGTTCTTTGATTATTACTGTTACGTAGACTAGTAGATTAGGCAGGCTAGTCCAGATGCATAATCTCGTTTTAATTTGCTAGGTGGTTTTATTAGACTGTCATATCGAATCAAGAGCCATAAAGACATTTGCAGAGAAATAACACATCATCCCTCCAATGCAATGCAAAGTATCATGTTATCATGTTGTTTGGGTATCATAAGACACGTACGACTTAGATCGAGCGAGGCCCTGTTTGGTAAATTGGTCAGAAACAGCGTTGCTTAATCCATAGGCACCGAGGAGGAAGTAGATATAGCCTCTTCTGTTTGCAAGCATGCAGACGCCACATCTGGACTAAAGCTGATTATTATAAGGTCACAAGTGGCGGCACGGCACATGTGTGCAGTTGATAAAAAGGCGGCTTATGACATATTTAGATCGTCTAGCACTGTTTCTTAGTTCATTCATTAATTGTTAGGAACTAAAACCTACAATGACTATATATATAGTTTAATCTTATATTGTTTAGATACATATATAGCTAGACTACTTGTAGGTAGTAAAAATATAGTCTTAATAAGACCCCTGGGTGTCTGGACGTCTGGTGTTTGCAGGTAGGCACATTTTCATATCCCGTTTATTTGCCCGATGTGTGCAGGGTCGTCGGACGTTCTTTTTCTACAGAGAAGAGAGAACACACACCAATCCCGGTTGACAACTGGCTTTGCCTCGTGCGTACCTTCCCTACCAACTCAACTGCACATCACATGTGCCAACGTCCTGGGCGCTCTTCTTTTGAATTCACCCATAGAAGACATTTAGTCCTAAGTGGGAGACCTTTAGTCCAGGTTAGTGATGACACCAACCGGGACTAAAGGGTGGCTTTTAGTCCCTGTTGGTGTTACCAACCGGGATAAAAAGGTCTTTGGTGCCTGTAAATTTTAGACCCAGGACTAATGCTCACATTAGTCCCGAACTCCAATACAACAGAGACTAAAGGTGCGAACCGAAAGTCGTTTCTCTACTAATGACAACACTGCCTAACACCCTTTGGTTATCCTCCCGTGGCATGAATAAAAAATAATGTCAAAGTGCATAAAAATAGGAAATATGTAGTCAAAATCTATAAAAACACGATTATCTGTTCAAAAACTACTTACTTGTCAAAACCAGTACCATTCTTTCGTCAGTCTCGCCTAGCAACCAAAGTGTTAGCTATATTGTCATGAAAAACCATTCATATCTTGATCATCGTTTCCTAAATGGGTATCATTTCCACCACTTCGTCGAGACGTAGATGGCTCCGATGATGGCATGCTGTTTTCATTAAGATCGCACGTGTCAAAAGTCTGCATCGGCCTTTGCACTTTCTCGAACAGAGTTATGCAGGGCCATTTATATGCATGCATTACCTTGCTTTCTTTTTGCATTGGATGATTAGAGAAGTCCAACAAAATCCTTCACTTCATCTTTGAAACTCCAAATTGAGGTGGTGGCAGCGAAGGAGAGGATGGGAGTCGGAGTCGGGATGCCTGAAGGCAGTGGCGGCGACAAGTGGGAGGTAGATACCAAGAGAGTAACACAAGAGGGAAACAAGAAAACCCCGTACGCAAGGATATAGGGTATGGGTATCTTGGTCATTTTTTCTCTGATTGCACATTTTAGTTCACATTGGTCTCCCTCTGCCAACCAGTGAAATGATTATTAGTTAAGGTATAGACTCAGTTGTTAGTTTACATGTTTGGATGGTTAAGGAGTAAACTTTATGTAACTTAATTTTAGTCTTTATATCCAAGCATACCCTGAACAAAACCAAACCCACGCATGGATCACAAGTCTGGACTCTAGAATGGCCACCACCAGGCATTCATGGATGAAGTCCAGACTTGAGAATGACTACCAGGCATGAGCTAGGGGCAGGAAGCTCCACTGGTAATTTAAATGGTCGTTTAGCCTATTTAAATACTATATTTAAACACTATAGTATGATCTATCATTTTTGTTTAATTAACTGTTTATTCTATTTGACTCACAGATGATTGGTCCTTTAGTGTTGAAGAAAATTCCACTCCCTCCATTCCAAGTTGTAACTTATTTTGGTTTTTCTAGGTACATAGCTTTTAATTTGCTACATATCTAGATCTTACATATGTTTAGGTATAATAGTAAAAACCATGTATTTAGAAAAATCAGAACGACTTACAGTTTAGGGTATGTTGGATTCGGTTACGAGGTGTGGAAAAACTACTGTGATCAAGTACGCGTTGTGGAAAACCTGTTGTGAGTTACATGTTGTGAAAACGTTATAACCAATTTGGTTGAAACTACTATGAAACCTACCCCTCTCTTTTATCTACCTTGAAAATGTGTAAAATATATCTCTATTTCCACCCATTTGAAAAAAAAAATGAAAGCCAAAAGTAGGGTTCAAAGTGCTACAGAAATTGCATTACACGGAAGTAACTGCTTCTGGAAAAAAAACAACTTTAGGTTACATCCGTTTGGTTGCCTTTTTGTTTTTTTAGCAGTAGAAACACTTTGTAGAAGCTGGAGTAGTTAAACACAGCCTTAGAATGGAGGAAGTAGTAGCCTATTTGTACCTGCACTGCACGCCCCGCTTGAGCTAGGGTCAGTCATGGAGGGCCTTTTAATTTGCGCGGCTGCTTTTCTAGCTGACCGAACGGGATCGGAGCAGGCACAGCACGAGGAACACGGCAAGAGGGAGGGCGGATGACGCGGCAGCACAGCAATAACTAGCTCCACTACTAAGGACGCCTGGGTGTTTGGATGGATGGATCAATCATATCATATCATCATTGGACGGATGCTGGATCTACCGGAACAACAGTTTGAATGCCCCTTTTCATGCGCCCAATTGCTTCGCATGTGTCCATCATGTCCAGTTGTCCATGCATCCTCTTTGTCTCCGCAAATATACTCGCACCCTTAAAACAAAGTGCACATCTTATTTTTCGAGTATTTGATCAACTTTAAATTTGACTAGATCTGTATAAAATAATATTGACAATAATATTTGAGTAAATTACATGGTCAATCCTTGAACTTTGTCTCGGTGTGTCGTCGAGGCTCTCCAAACTCTTGAAATGCAGTTTTAGATCCTCGAACTTGTTCCAAATAGCCCCGTTCTACTCCGCATCACGACGTCACATAACATAGCAGTTGGATCGTCCACACATCATTCTTGACCAGGACAGGAATTTAATGGCAAAGCAATTGTTTCGCATACCTCTGCTGCCTAAGTATCTATAGCTTTGGACTTGCCGCCACCACCACTGATGACGGCTTGGCCTGGGAGAATGACGAAGGCATAGGTTAGGAATGGTGAGCTGGCGACTATGATGCGATGCCTCGCTAGATTGGAAAAGCATAGAGAATAGAGATGGAGCTAGAAGAGAGAGGGAGAGCTGAAAACATGGAGATGAAGCTATAAGAGAGGGAAAGCTAGCGTGTAGATGGAGTGCTAGAGATCAACCATGTGGGTTAACTGGAGCTCGTTTGAATCTAGATGACATGCTACGACAAATTTAAGGACTTAAAAATAAAATTTAAGAGATCTAAACGTAGATGACACCCTAAGACAAGTACAAATACCTTAAAAATATATTTTGAGAGTTCGAGAACCTAGTCACCTACCTAGGTGACACTATGAGACAGGTTTAAGGACCCGCTCCTTCGTTTTCCTCTCAGTATTTTCATATGTTTAATGAAACTTAGGATTATTTCACTCCTTGGAAAACAATATGTGTGCTTACATATATACTGTACATACACGCATGAATGACGATATGCATGTGAATGGGACGGTGGACGGAGACGGGACAGAGTCGAGAGGGACGACGACGACGTCACTTGTCACCGCGCTGGCACCCACCGTACCCTCTGGGCAAGCATGGGTAATGGACACACGAGGCCGGCGCGGCTGCCTTGGTTGGTTCGTTCAGGCCAGGGTGGTTCAGTCACCTGATTGCATTGGGGGCGCCACAGCCACAAGCAAGTGGGGGAAATCATTCGTGCATGCATGAGCATGAGCTCGCTTGCGCGCGTGCATGTGCCACACACCGCCTGGCGTCTGCCTGTGCACACACCAGGACCAGGACCCAGGAGCAGAGCCAATAGTCGAGCCGGCCACCAACAGTCGCGTCGGCCAGACGCCAGACTCGCTCCTTCCTGCTGTAGTGTACGCTCAAGCTGAGGCACACAGCGGGAGATGGATACGGCGTACCGGTGGCCTGGTGCTGCTGCGTCACCGCAGCAGAGGACGACGATGCAGGAGGAGGGAGATGATCGAGACAGGGAGAGGGAGCCAGGTGTGGGCACGTTAATTCCACCGGCGGACCACGAGCAGCGGCCACCAGCCACGTATGCACGCCATCGCCCAGACGTACGTACGTTGGGGGCCCGTCGCGTCCCGGGGTCCGGAGGCCGGCCGGACCAGGAGCCGAGTGGGCGAGCCGGCCGGAAGGGAAGGGACCGACCTTTTTATATATACGTACAAATGCATGGACCATGCATGTAGATGCAGGTGCAGTGCAGCTCCCCTGTACCTGTACGTGTCCGGCCGGATGCTAGCTGATAATGGCGCGCAGAGCGTGCGTGCGTATCCACCTGCCGCACGTTACCCCCCTCCCCTGACTGACGCCAGCCTTGCTCATCACATCTTCAGTTTAGTACTGCAAGCTAGCTAGCTAGGACGACCTAGGAGTATCCCTTGCACGCTGACTGTACTCCCCCCTATCCGGAAAGAGCGTGTGTGCGATCGATCATTGCATTGCATGTTTCCTCCTGCTCTTTACTTGAGCACTCGATCGTCCATACTAGATCCATGCCGCCTCGTTCCTCTGCTCATGCATGTCACCAAGGTGTTCTCTGCAATGAAATGCACCGGACCACATCCACATCACGAGCACGGTTAGGGCTGCTAGCCTTGCCTTACCGTGCCAGGGTGGGCGAGCCAAT